CTAGCTACCTCAAATGTAAAAATAGGGACTATAATGGCTACTTCTTAGGGTTGTTATGAGATTTTATAGGAGTTGATGGATTGTAAAGTGATTGTCATATAGAAAACACTCAAGCTTCTAAAATTAAAGGCTCTTCATTTTGTATCAGATAAGATATTCATCCTCACCAGGCATGTGCAAGCATCTGCTCCCTCAGATACGAGCGGAGGACCCTGCACAAAGCACTGAAGCAGGAATGTTGGACTGGTAGGTACCAGCAGCCAGCAGAGAGAAAAACCAAGATTTTTTTTTTTTAATAAAAAAAGGAAAACCACTAGTGAAGAAAACAGCTGTCCCAGGCCCCCGGTGGCATGAGGCAGAAAAAGGCAAGGTAACGATGTTGTGGAAGACACGTCCACATATGAAGGCTGGGATCATCTCTTGCAGGTAACAACATATTCCTCTCTCTTCCAAGTCCACTAGAAACAGAATCTTGATTGACAGGAGAGACTTCATCCAAACTTTGGGGGGACATGGAAAATGCAAAATAACTAAAAACTTGAATTGTCATCTCTCATTTTTAAATTTTTGCTTTCTCTACTCTAACCACAATATTATTATGTGATCTTGGACAAGTAACTTTTCTGATCTCAGTTTCCTCATCTATAAAATGGGCCTGTGCCATTCCTATGCCACAAATGTCAAAGTGACTATATGGAGCTGCTATTCCGTTTTGGATTCAGGGTGGACATGAATAGACTTGAACTGAAGACACCAGGACTCTAGTCCTGGTTCTGTCATTATTTATAGCCATGGCCAAGCCCCTTCCCCTCTCTAGTCTTCAGATTGCTCAGGACTGAATAGGAGGGTCCCAGAGCCCCCACTCCAGCCATGGTTCAAGCAGTGCACATCATGGTTCTACCAGGCTGGTTTGTTTATAAACAAGTGATTGCCCTATTATTTCAAACATACCAACAATCATGAAGATGGCAGAGGACTGGGCAACATTTCGTTCTGTTATCCATAAGGCTGCCACGAGTCGGTGCCAACTCGATGGCAACTAATTAAGAACAACCCTATTATTTCACATAGCACTCTGCTCTACAGCACAGCCTCTGCTGTTGACATGCTTACTTTTTACAAAGACAGTGCTACATACCTGCCATTGACAGGTATGCATTTGGGTCCTTTCTCTAGCTACAGAAATGAAGATTTGCTCTGGCCTATCCATGGGCTATTGTCTAGTAAGGCACCTTGGGAAATCTCCAGGTACACAGTATGGTTTTCCCTCGGCACTCTCCCTCCTTCCTCTACGCCCTCCCAAACTGACCATCTGACTTTGCTGAACCACACTGAACATTTAAGTTGTTCCCAGCTCTCTAACTTCCCGATGGTAAATAATCCAGTGTATATTAGTCTTTGTCAGCTTTATTTTTTCAGACTCTTATTTCTGAAAGCGGAACTACTGGATTAAAAAGGTACAGACCATTTTAAGGCTCTTGACACATACTGCATAAAATTTTTTTCTGAAAAGGAAGTATGAATTGACTTTCCTACTAGCAATGTATGAGCTTGTGTGACCCATCTTTTTTTTTAATCTTCCAATATGAGCAGTAAAAAAAAAAAGGCACCACTTTTTAAATTTTAATACAAGTAAAGAAGATGAACTTTTTCTTCAAGTTTACTAGCTATTCTTTTTTAATGAAATGTCTGTGCATGTTCTTTTCATAATTTTTTCACAACAGCATGAAACCATCACTGCTAATTTTACAGAACTTTTTCTTCACTCAAAAGGAAACCTGTACCCACTATGTAGGCCCTGGCAACCACTAAATCTGCTTTTTGTCTCCATGGATTTACCCATTCTGGATATTTCATATAAAGAGAATCATACAATATGTGCCCTTTTGTAAAATGAGGAAAATACCTACCTCCCATTAACAATTACATCAAACAGCTAGAGACTTGCACCATGCCTGAAACACAGTAGACACCAAAGCCCCAAATTCCCCTCCCTCCTCAGCTTTACCCCAGGAAGCTGCATCCAGAGGGCCGCAGCCGCCCTGTCCGTCTTATTTCTCCAGGACCCAGGAGTGCTCTTCAAAGCAGCCTTGCTTCAGAGGTTTGAGGCACAGGCTTAAGGTGCAGACAAGTGATACATCCCAAAAGGCAACAAGCACTTCCCAATGTTCCAAACTCTGCTCCTTTCAACACGAGTGAATGCTACCAAGTGGCTACAGAAAGAAAAAACACCACTAGAAATGTTTTCTTCGAAAAAATTTTAATGAAGTCATACCCAAAATATCCATATGGCTCCTTTTGCATTTCACGCATAACCACTTAACTTCTTTCGGATGCTCACCTGTGTGGTGCACTTTCCTGCCTCTCATCCTTCCCCACGCCTTTCTCCCTGGTCACCTCCTCAGGGAGGCCCTCCCTGACACCGCCACTGGCACTGGGACAAGGGCACATACAGGCTCGTGATACCATTCTCCACACTTCTGAGTATGTGTGAAAATTTCCATAGTAAAGTCTTTTAAAAGTCACTCTTTAATACAAAAAATGAAAGAAAACAATGATGGGTTAGCCCCAAGTGCATCAGTTCCGTGGCCCCCAAGCCTGACCTGCAGCTCGCTCACTCACGAACGGGCAGATTTGTCCGTTATCTTGTGGATGTGTCCTTGGCAATCCCTGGTCTGTCACATGTGTTGTCACACAATTTCCACATACGTTGTGATCGTTCAGCGTTTACTGTTTATAGTGCCCAAACTCATCCACCTGATCTGAGACTGGAAGTCATAGTAAACGAAGAACACGCATGATCGCAGGAGCTCCCTTCATTGTGAACGGCATGGAGTCATTTTAAAAGCGTTCTGTGGGTCAACATGCTTGAGAAAATCTGCAACAAGAGTTGCCGTTTTAAAGCAGGAAAATAAAATATCCAGGAGGGCGGAGCTGAGGAAGGAAAAAAGCAATGTTTTCTTGATTCCTACCCTACGATGAGCTTACGGTAGAGCATCAGGGCCTGCAGAATGTAGCCATGGATGCTTTCTCAAGCCCGCCGACTAGCACAAAGATAGGCAAATAAGCAGCAGCATCCCTCACCCCCACCCCAGCTGGTCCCACAGCTCCTAGTCCTCCATTCCAATGACCTGCACCTCCCCCAGACATCCACACCCCACACCCAGGCAAACATCTAGGCTCAGCGTTCTTCAGTCTTCCACACACAGTCTGCAGCCTCCCTCTCTAGCAGCTCTCAATTGTGAGAATCCTGGCCACAGAGACCTGGCCATGAGCGCCTGGTCTACCCAGAGTCTGAGTGCCCACGGCCAGAGAGCAGTCACAGAAATGAGCTAACATCAGGAGTGCGTACTATGTGCCTGGTATTTCACTCATCCTTTCAATTTAATCCTCTCAACAACCCTATGATGCTTAGGAATTTCATGACTGAGGAAATGTGACCAAAACCCAAAACAAACCAATACAAAAAACACTTTGCTCAGAGGCTGGGGGGAGGGAGGAAGAGACTTGCCAGGGACTCCTAGGTAAGGGGCAGGGATTGGCCACAGATAAAGGCAGGTGGGCATCAGAGCCCTTTCTTACGCTCTCAAGTTTCTGGTAAGCTCAATTTGTAGGTGAAATACCAGGATGAGACTGCTAACCAGTGGAGAATATAATGCAAAGAGCAAGGAGGCAAGGCTTGGCAGGGAGATGGCAAGAGCAGGAAAACAATGTCAGCACCTCAGCTCCTAGAGGAACTGTATCCTATCAACTCCCCTTACAGGACCCAGCCCTGAGGAACAGATGCATGGTAAGTCAGATGCCATTTTATTAAGTTGCAATGAGAACTATAGACTGGAGTAAAACCAAACACAGGGCAAAACCTCCCTGGGAAACCAAGTTCCCACCAGAAAGCTCCCTGGTAAACCCAGGCACAGCACAGTGGCAGTCAGACACCTCAAGTCCTAAACCCCTGAAACAAAAGTAACATAAGCATCAAGGCCAAGTGTTCCCGATTTTCAGGGACAGTCCAGATCCCCAGCCCTCGACTTATAGGAAGATCTTATGAGTTACTATTCCAAATATATGATCGCCCCTGACAGAACAGTAGCAGCTCCTCTCTAACTTCTTCATTTTCAAGGCTCTATACAGATCACAGAGCCCTGGTGGCGCAGTGGTTAAGAGCTCAGCTGCTAACCAAATGGTTGGCAGTTTGAATCCACCAACCGCTCCTTGGGAACCCTATGGGGCAGTTCGGAATCAACTTGACGACAAAGGTTTTTTTTTTTTTAAATACAGATCACACTTTTTCGATAACATACTTCCCTCAAATACCAACATTATCCATGTAGTTTCCTTTCATGAGAATCATACTCGGGTTTTCAGAAAACACCTTTCTTATCTGGGCTAAGACTTTGATCTCACAGATGAATTCAAGACACGCAAGTCCCTCAGACTTGGAGAGTCCTTTCTTCCTGTTGGAGCCCTGGTGGCACAGCAGGTTAAGCTTTCAGCCGCTAACCAAAGGTCGGCAGTTCATATCCACCAGCCACTCCTTGGAAACCCTATAGGGCAGTATTACTTTGTCCTATACGGTCGCTATGAGTCAGAATCGACTCGACAGCAACAAGTTTGGTTTGGTTTTTCTTCCTGGTACATACAACTTTACCTTAACAAATGGCCTGAGCTGTCCACCTCAACTTTATGGTGGCTCTTTTACTTCCAATTTCAGGCTCTGATGTTTTCTAACTCTAGTCCCCAACTCTGCATATGAAACCCTTTCTGAGCCACTAGAGACCTGAGTTGCCTCATCAGGGGAAAGTGAGGGTGTTGATCCAGATTAGCGGCCAGGGTGAGAGGTTTCCTGGATGGGGTGAGTCGCTCCTGGCAAGAGAGGGGGTCCAAGTTTACTCAGCAGCTATATGTGCATCAATCCTACACACTGGAATTTGGTGAAAGGCTTCACTTCAAAAAAGGGTTCTGCTGCTTTTTTAAGTTTGCAAACCATTGATCTTGGCCTTCCAAGGTCTCTTCCAAGTATAAAAATATGGTTTTGATTTTTCAAATTCATTTATTCAACAGATATTTGGAAAGTGCTTGAGTCTGTGCAAGACTGTTTAAGACTGTGTGGGAGGCATGGTGGTTACAATAGTGAACCGTATGCTAATAAATACACTCTGCCTGCAGGGGACCTGCTGTTTGTGTTGTAAAGAACCTGAATCGTGATATAGATCAATGTCCACAGGCAGAATCACCAGCAAAGTCTATTTTATGTCTCCTCAAGCATTAAAATAAGATTGCAAGATCCTGAAACTCAGCTGGCACACGTTTCTTCTACGAAAACTGGTTCAAGTGTTGCCTCTCATCTGCCCATTACTCAGAAGACCTAGGCTGAATAATACAAACAAAACCAGTTATGAGTAGAAAAATCAAACTGGATTTTATTAAAATATACATAAATAGTCCTCATTTTTCTTCATTTCTTCAGTACTGGGAAGGCAACCGAAAATTTCAGGAGAAGGAGCAGGACTCATGGAGTGAAATGAAGGCCACACAAAGGTCCGGGCAGCTGGCAAAGGCATTTAATGTCGTGTCCTCGGCTGTAGGATGAGGTGGTTGGGATACATGTCGTCTGGCGTCAGTTGCAGCTCTAAAATTCTACTGTTCTAATTCTACTACAGTGAGCAAGTGCTATAGGTATGTGTTAACTATATACTGGGTACTCACAATGAAAAGTGAATGAACATTGGCCTCACAGGAATACTTTTAAGGAAGATAAGAGAAATACAGACGTTTGCTGCTTAAAAAACTGCATTGATGCTGTTTTATTCAGACTAATTAGAATATATACACGAAAAATGTGTATCATACGTTGCTTTCAAAAAATTCTATGTCCCATGAGAACTATGTAAACAAGGTAAAATGTTTCTACTACACAACAAAAGAAGAAAATCAGCATTCCCATTTAGGATTAGGAAAATATTTCAAGAATCTGAATTTATAGCAAAACAAAGTGAAATATTATTACAGAACAGTCTTTTCATGAAGGAGTTTTATATCTAGAAGCAATACAATTCATACTTTCAAACACTTTGGTATAAGTAAGATTAATACAAAGCAAAAAAAAAACAAAAACAAAAAAAGTCCTCTACTTTGGTTCTCACGTTAGTCGGAAGTTTCGCAATGAGGCGACTGCATAGCTACTTGGATGATGCCCTCCCAGGGAAGAGAGACGTGCTGCAGAGCCCTTCCTGGGACTGCTGTGGAATAAGAGAGCACTTCACGTCCTTCCACGACCATGCGCTCGGCAATAGCTTGAAAGGCTTTATAAAAACCTCCAACTCAGTGCAGGATGTTAGAGATCTTGGTTACTTCCTCTGAACAAATACAAATAATCCTCATGAAAGCAGCTCAGCACTACAATTCACATTTAAAGTAGGATATCAGTTGTTTATTGTTTAAAAATCATATTACTATAGTTTCTCAAGAAGTCTGTACTTGAATAAAAACAGCAGACTACATTAATTAAAAAACGCACATTGAATGGCCCACTGACAACTGTTGAATAGAAATAACCGTCCGCATGCTACGTATATTTCTTCACTGATCCACATGACTTTGACAACTGTACAACTAAAATGATCTGGGACATTTTTAATCGCACCATTTTTACAGTCACATTTTCTCATCTACACTGTCCAAATGTGGTAGTGATGTTTTCACTGTTTTTTTTGTTGTATGTTATTTTCTTCTAAATGAAGCCCTACATCTGAGAACTCTATACTGAGAAGTTGTCGACAAGTCACTTTTCTGACATCCATCACAGGAGAAAACTGGGACCATCCTCTGAGCATTTTCTCAGCAATGTAATTTACACTGGGACTTTCTGTGAAGACAAACTTCAAAAAGAAAAAGAAAAAAAGAACCCTCCGTGAACTTCACAAGCTGACAGTAATAGTGTTAACAGTGCACTGCTGCTCCTTTCTGAAGTAAAAGAACACAGGCAAGTGCTCAAGTCTACTGAACTAACACTGCACCCCCCCACCCCGGCATAACCCAACACACCCGGTGAGCACAAGCCCTCAGAGAGGCGCCCACAGCGACTAGAGCACACGGCAGTAAAAGACAAAAACTTAAAGTTTATTATCTGTCAGGCTAACGCGAGGCTTTTTAAATAGCAGCTCTAAAAGGACTAGAAGAACATACAAAAGAATTATTTGGCAAAATACTTACTGATCTATGCTTGAATGAACCATGTGTAGAATAGAAGGACTGTTAATATTTTAAATTAATTATCTTATACTACTAGGAACCTAAGTTCGTACCTTAATTTTATAGACCCAAAACTGACAGGATCAAGTGTAAGAAGAAATAAAATAATTACAGTGAATAAATCATGTGTGAATAAAAGGGGCTTACTGAGTTTTTCAAATTCTGTGAAATCAAAACCCTATGATTACTGTTGTTTGGGCTTTGTTTGTCTTACTTTGTTTGGGGGGGGATAGAGGAACACAACAAAATCATCTCAAAATTCATTTGGAGTTAACAGCCAAAACTATGGTATACTGAGAACTTGCACTGCCAGACATTAAAACCTATAAAGTCACAAATTACTATAATATCATATTTCACTGAATCTAAGACACTGTCAATTGTAAGATGCACCATTACTCTATGTACCATGACAAGAAAAGATGTCCAGGACAGGGAGTCTAAAAAGAGGCCGAGACCCTCACAAAAAGTAGAGGCACTGAATGGCTACACCCTCAGTGAGGGGCAGAAGAAAATAACCCTCCATGCAAAAGGGACAGCAAAGAAGACTGCATGCTGCTTTCTGGACAATGGAAAGAGGAAAAAACAATTCCTGAAAATCTGAACTGGCAGCCTCCATAAATGTTGTGGTCTAAATTCACTCTACCACTGTAGTCCATGAAAATCTCAAGCAGAGACGTTAGTTTAAGCTGATTTGGACTGGCAGCGCCCCCCAGTGACTGGGAGAAGAAAATACAAAGAAAGAACTCACATTCTATCCAGTAACGACAGACTGTAAGAAATCAAAAATGTTCATCTGCATTTCACATTTCAAGATGCTAAAAGGTGAAAAATACAACTTGAAATCAGTGTAATATTATATACAGATAAATAAGTCAAGAAAAGAAATGAGAAAGCCGGAAAACAAACACATCGCATATCAACAACCACCAAAAAAAAACCCATTGCCATCGAGTCAATTCCGACTCATGGCAACCCTACTGGACAGAGTAGATCTGCCCCATAAGGTTTCCAAGGCTGTAATCTTTATGGAAGTCGACTGCCACATCTTTCTCCCACAGAGTGTCTGGTGGATTTGCACCTCCAATCTTTCAGTTAGGAACTGAGCACTTAGCCACTGCACCACCAAGGCTCCTTATATCAATGACAACAAAAAAACCAAACTCACTGCCATCGAGTCAATTCTAACTCATAGCGACCCTACAGGGCAGAGCAGAACTGCCCCATAGGGTTTTCAAGGAGCGGCTGGTGGATTCGAACTGCTGACCTTTTGGTTAGCAGCCGTAGCATTTAACCACTAGCCCACCAGGGCTCCATATAAATGACAAAGGGTAGATAATTCAATATACAGCACAGGAAAAAATGATGAACTATTTAAGAAAAAAAAAAATTCATGCCTTCTTTATACAATAATCTCCTCAACTCTAAAGTCAAATGGAAAAATAAACCAACATAAGGACTAAAAGAAAACTTAAAAGTATCTAAATAATAATTAATCTTAAAAGACTGATCCACTATTTTTTAAATATGTCCCCCACCCCCAAAAATTCTAAGCATAAGCAAAAACAAAACACAAATGTCAAACTAGAGAAAAATATTTACAATGACATAAGGTTAATTAATACCCTTAAAATATCATAGTTATAAATGTAGAAGAACCAAAAATATCCCACAGCTCCAGTAAAGTACACAAAGGTCAGGAGCAGACAATTGACAAAAGAAATATAAATGGTCAATTAAATACACCAAAAATACTCAACTTCACTAGCAATGGAAATGCAAATAAAAGCAATGATACAGCCATTTCCAGCTATCAAACTGGCAAAATTTTTAAAATAGCCAGTGTTGGCCAGGGTGCAGAAACACAGGCACCTACATACACTCATGAGCATTTCTGGAATGCGTTTCAGCCAGCAGTGTGGATCAAAAGCCTTTAAAAACATGTGATACTCTTGGATCCAACAATGCTACCTCTAAAAATTTATCCCAAGCAAATAATCAGAGATGAGCAAAAACTATATACAACTACATGTCAGAATTATTTCTAATAGTGAAAAATTGGAAAATCACCAAAAAAACCAACAATGGAGGATAAATTAAGTATTTTAACAAATTATAACAGAACCATAAAATTGGTAACAATGTAACTACTAAATAGCACATATCACTGAAGCACTGTTTATACCAGTAAAATACTAGAATAACTGAAACGCCCATCAGTAGGGCACCAGTTAGACAAATTCATGGTGTAGCAGGCAGTGGAATACTATACAATGGTTAAAAAAGGAGGCAGTTCTTATGTTCTAATAGATATTCTTCTCTGCGCCTGAAACGACCTTCTTCTCCCAGAATCCACTTGGCTCACTTGTTCAAATGTCACTTTATCAGTGACGGTAATACACAATGTACACAATAGCCACCCTACAGACAAGAGTAACTTGCTCCAATCCCAAACGCACTCCCTCTCCACCTTACCCTGCTGCTCTACTTTTCCTCCGTGCATTTATCACCACCTGGCCAACGTGGTCAACTGTTTATTTACTGTCAGTCTTCCCCCAGAGGAAGTAAGATCCTTGAGGACAGAGACTTCCTTTGGTCCACTGCTATGGACTTCAGTACCCAGAATACTACTTGGCACTAGGTAAAGCACTCAAGAAATGATAGATGGATGGATGGATGGATGGATGTGCGGACGGATGGATGGGTGCATGGGTGAGAAGACAGCTGGATGGATGGGTACGTGGGTGGGAAGAAAGATGGATGGATGGGTGGATGGATGGATGGATGGATATAGAACAATCTCCAAGATACAAAAGAATAGTGTATCCATTTTGCTATCCTTAAAAAGGAAAGAATGACATATGTTTATGTATACGTTAGCAAATGTCTGGAAGGATACACAAAACTTGGAAGGCTGGCTGCATCTGAGCAGGGAAACTGGGGAAAGAGGTACAGGAAGAAGAACCTTCACTTCTGTCACTTTCAAAAGCTGAACCAGATGTCTATATAACCCATTCAGAAAAATAAAAACTGTAAATATACACACACACACAAACACACACATTGTAGGCTGATGTGGGAAAATTACACAAATATACTATTAAGTGGAAAAGTATCAGGCTACAAAATAACAAATAATATGAACTACAGAGAGACTTAGATAAAAGTTTGGAAGAATAGAACCGCTGTTACATTTTCGAGTGGTAAAATTACAGATGATTACTGCTGCTGCTTGTTCTTTTCTGTATTTTCTAAGGTTTCTATATGAAGCCTCGATATTTTATAATTTTTTAAAAACTGCTTTTTAAGTACACAGAGAGAGAAGTGCCTGAGTGGCACCAATGGTTAAGCACTCAACTACTAGCCAAAAGGTGGGGGGTCTGAACCCAGCCAGAGGCACCTCAGAAGACAGGCCTGGCGATCTGCTTCCGAAAGGTCACACCCTATGGAGCAGTCGTACTCTGTGCACCTGGGGTTACCATGAGTCAGAATCAACTCCACAGCAACTAACATCAGCAACAGATCACAAGGTCACTAGTCAAGAACACAGAGAGAGCATCTATTTAGCAAAGAATCTAGTGATGATGGAGCGAAAGGGCGCCCACACTGGATCCTATCATACAGTTATACCCTGCACAGCCTCTGCAGTCTCCACATCAAATGCTCATTCTCTGACCAAAACCTCTCGTCCTTACTGTACGAGTACACCCATCTCCTCGGTTCTCCAGACTCATCCTACCACTGACCTCACTTGCTTCACCCTCCATCACCTCTCTTAACTCTCTTGTCTTTCTCTTCCTATCCCACTTGCCTGGCAAAACCCTATCCCTGGTTCAACCCAAATATCTGCTTACTCCAAACCTCACCCAAGCAGTGGAATGTGGCCAGAGAAAAGCCACGCCATTGTGCTAATTGTACTCACTTCAAATTTATGACCAATACCATCAAATGGGCATTCAAGTCTGCAGTACAATCCCACTGCACTTTGCTAGTAAACTCCCTTTTCCCACACTCTGAGGTGAATATCATTCTGCTTCTTTCTCCATAAGCCCTCCACTGGTGACCTTACTTTTAACTGATGACTATCCTACACACTTCAGAGAGGAAGTCAAAGGAACCAGAGAACCCTCCTGCCCCCCACTAATTTCACCCATCTTCCTGTATTTGCCCTCACACTCTGCCTTCCTCCCAGTACTATGAAAGATGAATTCCTGCTCCTTTTCTAAGGCTAAATTCTCCACCTTGCCCAGTCCCATCCCCCATTCCCTTTTCAAGTATTTCCTTTTATAATTATCCCCTTTCTCTTATATTATCAATTTTCTCCCTCAATACTGGATCATTCTCACTGTCAAACAAACATACCTTAACATCATAAATTGTTCCCGTCTAGTTACTGCCTTATTTGTCACCTTTCATGGCGAAGCCCTTTCCTCTCCAATTCCTTACCTCTCCTCAGCCCACTTTTACCCCTACCATGACATTCAAACAGCTTTGGTCGAAGTCACCAGTGATGGCCTACATCTTCCTGAAGACAACGGCGAATTCTTGGTCCTCCTCTTACCTGACCTCTCAGCCGTGTGTGACGTGGCTGCCCACTCCCTCCTTGAAGCAACCTTCTCTCAGCCTCAGTGAGATCACAAGTCCCTGGACCCTTTCTCTTCACTGCCTCCCTGTTCTCCACCTCCATCATCTTTTCTAGATGACCTCACCCCGTTTGTGGCTTCAAAGATGCTGATGATTCTAAAGTTATCATTTTTAGCTCTGAGCTTTCTTCTGAGGTTGAAATCAACATCAATGACTGACTTGACAAAACAGAACTGATTCCCCAACGCTCACCCCTCCCTCAAAAAACATCTGCTCCCACCACAAGCCTTCCCAAGAAAAGGCACCACCCCAGCCAGTTGATAAGAGTCATCCTTAATGCTTCTTTCCCTCAAATCCTACAGTAAATTCATCAGTAAGTCCTCAACCAAACAGATCTGAATTCAACCACCTCTCACTACCCCTGCTACTACAACCCTAGTAAACGTCACCCCCAGTCTATTCTCCCTGCTTCCATCCTTGCCCCTCCATCCTTCACCCTGTACCCAGAGCAATCTCTCTAAAGTATAAATCAAACCATGACACTCTTCTTCTTAAAAGCCTCCAATGTTACATGTGAATAAAATACAAATGTCATACCAGATCCTTCATAATCAGACCCACCTATCTCTGACTCATTCGCCCCACCCGCCATTCTCACCTTCATTTATTACTCTCCAGCTATAATGGTCTGCTGTCTGTCCCTCAGACATGGCATATCTATTCCCATCTCATGATCTTTGCAGCCACTCATTTCCGCTTGGAATGTTCTTCTCCCAAACCCTCATATGTCCATCATGTTTTTGTCATTCAAATTTCAACTCAAATGTCATCAACTCAGCAAAGGCACATCCGTGCAAGCAATCCTAGTCACTCGCTACCATATCTTCCTATTTTATCTTCTCCAAAGAACTTATCAACATTTTAAATTTACTTATGTCTCAGAGTACAGGTTTACCACCAACCTCCTCCCAATAGAAGGTAAATTCTTTGAAGGTGAAAATGGAATCTTATTTACCACCTATCCCCAACATGAACGCTGCTGCCTGGCACAAAGCAGGTGCTGAATAAATATTTGTCGACCAACTGAATGACTGCTTTATAATTGAAAATCTAGACTGTGGTAGCTTTTGATATTACATTTAGTTTATTTTAATACTATATATCAGAAATGGGTGAGAACTGATAAAGCAGTATGGTAACAAAGTGCCTTTTTGACCTACTCCATTGACTAAGACTCTCTAATATACAGGATAAAAACACTGAAAATGATATAAACGTCCATTAGCAGGGAACTGGCTAAATAAAATGGGATACAGCCAAAAAATGGATTATTATGCAGCCATTAAAGAGAATGAAAAAGACCTACACATGCTAATATGGAAAGCTATGCAAGCTGTTTCACTGATTGAAAACATCAAGTTACAGACGAATACATTCAATGAGATCCCTTTCGTTTTAGAATACATACGTATGCGCTTGGCTACGTGCAGAAAAATTTCTAGGGAAATCCTACTGAATGTGACTACCTCTCCAAACTGAGAATGGAAGTTAAAGGGACCTTCCTATATTTATTATTAGAAAACCAAAAAGTGTTAGGAATTACTTTTGATTTCAGCAATTTAGAGATCAGCACTTTGTATTTCGCTCTTCTGAAGGCTTTAAACTTCCTCTGTACAAAGCACATTACACCTGTATTTCACAGTAACGCACAACCTGGTGAGGGAAAGCCACCACCGGGCGTTTCCGGAGGTCAGTCACGGACGCAGAGTGCGGCAGACACAGCAGGTCGGCTCCCCCGTCAGAGACGGAACCCTCTTCTCTCTACTGTTCCTCTACAATGACTGGGAATGCTTAATACATCACTTTTCCAATCTTTCCTGCAGCTCGGAGGGAGGGAAACGTGGGACATGTGACACAGACCTAGTCAATAAGGCAGAGCAAATTTTTGGATGTGCTTTTTCTTTCCTAATGAAAAGGGATAGCTTCCCCCTCTTATCATGCCTTGAATGGAAACATGATGTCTGGAACTGTGGGAGCCATTTCATAACCACAAGGCAGCAAGAGCCAACATGTGGGGAAAAGAGGTGCGCGATCTGGCTATCTGGTGCGTCACTCAACACGTGAACCCTTCTTGTTATGTAAGAAAATTAAACCCCTCTTTGTTTAAGTTACTGTGCATTAGTTCTGTTACCTACAGCCAGAGGAACTCCTAAATAATATTCCTGGGAATCTGTTTTAAAGAGAAGCTAAAAATAAAAGAACTCAAATTCTACACAGAATTAGGAAAAGAACGTAATAAATCAAAAATGTATATTGCAAACCAATTCTCATCCTTAATGTCTCTATACTGAATAATAAGAAAAAATACACTAAGAGGAACAGAAAAGAACAAAGAGAAAATTAGAGTCAATGTCAACTCCAAAAAAAAAGACTTCAGAATGTAAACATTCAGAATTTACACAATGAAAGTAAACTCACACAATGAAAGTAAACTCACACAGTGAAACTGAAGTCCAATCAATGCTGGGGCTGTTCTGGACTAATGTTCATTGTTCGATAAATTTCTTTAAGTAATAACAAGGCAGTATCTTCAGATTCCCTAACAAAAAGAAAGGCACGTTTACTTGAGACAATTAGCAGAAATCAATCTCTATGCCCAAAGGCAGAAAATGTAGCTCTTGTTCTATTCAATGCTACCTAAGAAGGGCAGATGAAAATAGTGTAATCTCAAAGCTGTCCCTAAACCTGGGCAGATACAGATCAGCTCCAAAATAGTCGTGTTGCAATTTTCCTTGGTGACAGGGAAACAGATGAAAGGATGGCTTTTCAAAGTCCCTAGCACTCACATTCTGTGAAAGGTGACACAGAAAACGTGCTGCCAAGAACCAAAGGCCTTTGGTCAAAGGCAGAGGACATACTGCCATCTGGTGGACAACGAAAGGGGAAAATACTAATTTTGAACATAGACCTGCATATATATACCCGTTGCTGTCGAGTCGATTCTGACTCACAACGCCCCTATAAGACAGAGTAGAATTGCCCCATAGGGTTTCCAAGAGGCAGCTGGTGGATTCGAACTGCTGATCTTTTGGTTAGGAGTCGACCTCTTAACCACTACGCCACCAGGACTCTTTGAATATATAGGAGTTCAAATTAATTTTCTATAGTAAGATAAATCAGTAAAAGAATCTCACTAAAACTGCTATATTTAGCAGCATCTAAAGGTTCCATGAAAGTTATCCAAATGACAAGTTCTAATAAAAAGTCTTAAAGAATAAAAAAATAGCTTTATATAAAGAAACTAACATGTGACAAATTTCATTCAAACCAAAGTTGAAAATACTTACCAATAGCATAAGTGACTCTGAAGAGCAAAAAGATATTCATTAAAACTCTCTATTGGCTTTTCCTGAAGAACGTAGTCAATTCGGCGGCCTCCGTTTAACATTCCAACCTTTCCTAAGTAGTCCTCATCCTTGGAAAAATCTGGACTTTCAACAATTTTTTCTGCTAGAATTTAAACCATTTCAACATCAAAGTCAATCACTTAGTCATTATCCTCTGACTTTAGCTGACTTTCTGGGTTCAATGAGAATACTGCTTGACACACGTAGCAACCTGGGGAGCTACCAGGCTCACTCTCCATGCCTCCAAAGAGCCAGGGGAAGAGGGGCTCGTTACCCAAAAGAGAGGAGAGAGAGCCAGCGAGCTGACAGAAGTTGAGAAGAAAAGGGGTGAGAGAGCATTGCAGAAAGAAAGGAAATAGAATTAGAATCTGAAAAAGTCAAAAACACCACGGCACAATGACCTGACGTTGCACGTAAAGTCCATAATGACACAGCTAAACAACAGCATCAGGAAGATTGTTTTTCAGAGTGAGTTCTTTAAAACGCCTGAACACAAACCTATTTCTCAACTTTGATATTCCACTCTGGTCTTAAATTTAAAAAAAAAAAAAAA